TTTTTGTTCTTTCTTTGGAGCGTGATTAATACGGGGTGGCTGATGCAAAGCTATGTATGATAATATAAGCAGCGAGAGATTGTTATTGAATTGAATGTGCATTGAAATGTACTTTACTAGTTTAAAACTTAAGTGAGTTCATGTTATCAACACTATAGATGCCGTGCTGTGGAATAAACGGTCAAGCCACGATCCCGAACCCCTCTTTGTCCGTGTCTCCTCTCTACCACCACCCACGAACACACAACACAGTGCAGAGTAGCAGCGGCGGTGGTAGAGGCCTATTAGCACGCAGAGAGAGAGAGGGCTACATATATAAAGAGAATCACTAGTAAAGGACTATATCCGGTACGGATCGGGTAGTGTCAACAACACATGAAAACATTACATTATTATTAGTATTATAACAACAGTATTATTATAACTACCCGAAATTGCCGTAAATTATTTCGTCATACAGACAGGAAGTAGATGCATTTCCATTTTCCGCACATGCGCAGTACAAATCGTGTAGTAGCACTAACTGCACCATGGTATTGTCAGAAATGTGGGTATTTGTGTCGAATTTATATTATTATTGTAGACATGTTTTAAATGTATTGGAGGAGTAATGGAATATAATTACAGTATTTTTTTGTGATTAAGCTATAGCGTTTATGCATTTATACTAAATTTATTTAGACTAGCTACAGTTTTTTGTACAAATACCTAAAAACCAGATTACATTTTTACCATGGTATTGAGGTGCTATATTTGTGGTTTTAACTGTGATTATCATGATCTAAATGTATGCTACTGGAAGACCAGTGGTTAATAATAATAAAAAAAAATCTCAAACAGTCAGAATAATTCAATTCCACCATATAAAAATGAGGTTGCTACAATACTTACAGATATTACTGATTTTGATAATGAACATAAATCTACATCTGCATCCTAAATTAAGCTACTATTAAATGTGTATTTCTAAGAGACAAAAAATGTTATATTATTATTAATATTATCAGGCAACACAAACCTGTTTCTTGATTTGAAACAATATTACTCATTAGAACGTGCAGAACTAAGAAATTATTTTTTTCTATTAAGATATTTTAAGGAAAAATGACTGGAAAAGTGTAAAGAATTCAAAAACGAAGTGTTTGTCGTGTTCTGACCATAAAGAGTAGTTTAAAACCACAATCAATTAACTGTCTGTTTTTTACAACTTTCACATTAGAGCAAAAATCTGCCTTTAAACTTGAAATAATTTTTTTTTTTGACAATTATCATGATAATTTTTTGGCCATATCACTCAGCCCTAATAATAAGCCACAGTAGTTTAATGAACAAATGGCGTGGCTGGATAAGAAGTGAAAAAACGAGTGTACGTGTGTGAGGAAAACAAAGACAGAGTGTGACTAAATGCTTAAGGTGCACTTCTGCCTACTTCAGCTGCCACAGCCAAACAGGAAAACCTTTAAATAAGAATAATTTTACCACTGAATAGCGCTGTATTCACATACTCGCATGCACTTTCCGTTAAACATTAAACTGGAGATACATGTCATTGTGGTTTCACATTTACTTAAGAATAACACTTTCTGCTGTGAGTGAAACACTCACACGGCTTCACCTCTGACCAGACCAAGCACAAAGAAATTGAAATGTTCTTAACAAAAAAATATTGCTTAGTGAAATCACTCCTATCAGATAACGCACCGACTGAGCAACACTGTTTTTCCTTCAAGTCGACAATCTTTCCTTCACAGAATGATGTTAATGTTATGATATTCTCAAAAAAAAAAAAAAATGATATGCTTGAACTTCCCACACTTTAATTTGTCACTTGTAAGCCTTAAAGTGTTATTTAAAAAAATTACGAAGAGAGAGAGAGAGAAAGAGAAACTGTCAGCATTTACTCACTTTCATGTCTTTACAACCCTGTATGACTTTGTTCTGTGGAACACAAAAATAAATATTTTGAAGCATGTACAAGTGGATCTTCTCCATGAAATTACTGGAGCTTTCAAACTTCAAAAAGGACACGAAAGCACCATAACATATCATAAAAGTAGCCCATTCCACTCATGTGCTATAGTTCATTCAGTCATACAGATTTGAATATGAGTAAATGAAAGTCAGATCTGCATTGTTTTCTGCTCCATCTGTTTAAATAATAGATTAGATTGTAATATGAGAAAACTGCAGTTGAGTTATGGGGTCAGAGAAGGGCAAAGCAGAGTATCTTCCATTATTCTCTCTCTCTCTGATCTCATTCTCGTTGTGTGCCAGACCTCTCCCCCTGCGTGTGGGACCCTGATAACAGGATCTTCTGAGAAAGTGAGGAAGTCCTTTCAGGCCTTGGGCGTGTGCCTCACCAGAAAGACGCGCGAAGGAATTGTGTGCAAAAACGTGTGTGTGTGTAGCTGCTGTAGGAAAAGTTAATACTTGAGGTGTGCGGCCATGGCAGGTATCTGAAGCTGAAGGTCATGGTGTTCTGCACCATGTCAGCTGTGTCTGGTGCTCATATCCAGTACACAAAAGGCCTTGAAAAGAGTCCACCACAGCTGTGCATCACATGCAGTACAAGACTGCTATAGCCTTCAACTAGTTGCACATGTCATACAGTAAGAAAAAAGTGAATGTAATTTATGGTATTGTTAAGAAAGAGTGGTTTCTCACCAGACATCAAAAACCAAAAGTGTAGCCAGCTACCATACATTAAAATAATGTATAATTATTATGCTGTGTATATATTGTGATGTGTACCATTATTTTGAGTTTACTCTGATTTGAGTTTTATGCAAAAAAAAATGTTATAATATGATAAAATATATTATTTGGTAGTCAGTTGTCATTACTAAAGCACATGGTATCAAATAATCAAAAGGCTTAGCTCACCTAAAAATGAAAACTGTCATTATTCCTGTTGACGTCCCATTGACCCATTTTATTTATTTATTAATTTTTTTTACATTTACAAAATTTACATTTTTGGGTGAACTATCCCTTTAGCAAAGGACAAGAGACATAAAGATGTATCAAATTAAATTTGAAATGATCTAGAAAAAAAATTTATAGAATGTAAAATATTTTTATATTATTATGTTATATTACTCAATATTCTATTACATCTTTGATGGATATCTCCCCTATAATCTTATAGGGTATTCTTTCAAATGCTGTACAGTTTGTTTCAGGACATGTTTGTTTTTTACATGTTGCACTGCACGTCCTGGATTTGTGGGAAGATGTTTATGTGATCAGAGTGTGAATGTTGCACAGGTGGATGAGGGTGAGACTTTGTTATCAGTGTCTCTGACTGGTTCATCCTCTGATATCCTGCCACAATACCCTCACATATTCTGCAGCAATGTTTACTAAACAGAGCAGAGGGAGTTGTATTTGTTTTTGAGAATTTATCTATCGATCTGCTTATAACGGCAGACATGGAATTTACTTTGCTAGAATGAAGAATTACAGTAGTACCATGAGAGTGTCAGAAGTACTTGTGTGGACATGAATTTTATTTCATGGGAAAAGTTGAAGAAAGGAGAAAAGCAAACCAGTTTGCTGTTGAACAGCAGGGCAGTACATGCAGTGTGTGATTTACTGAAACTAATTCAGAGTCTGGGTAAAAGAAAAAAAAAACAATGAAGCTTTGGTGTACACATAAATATTCATTTCAGTGTCCTTTTGTTCTGTGGAGACTTGTTGCGAAAAGAAATAAAGCACTCTGAAAGAAAAGAAATCTGCTCACAAAACATTTGTTACAGCTTTCTTGCATTTGACTGAAAAAGTATACACTACAAAATCTTTTTACTGTGATTATCATCATGAAGAAAAATCTAAGTTACCGTACATGGGTTGTTTATAAAATCTGGAAGAAACGACTAATCTGAGCACCCGAAATGGAGGGATTCAGTTAATTATAGAGGCATAAATCATAGACCACCCATTGTGTCTGAGATTGTAAAGAAACCTGCGTTGGTGTCTTGCAAAAATGGGTTTTACCTTAATACTAGCAACATAATAATGGGTAAAAGAGACTTATGAAACATAAGTCACTCTAAACAATAATCAAGCATTAATAGAATCATTGATATCCACAAAAATAAAGAAACCAATAAATAAAAACAAATATATACAAATAAAATTGTGCTTGCAGTTCTCATATTATCATTGAGCCCTTGAGCAAGACCTAATAACATCACAGTGACTGTTCCTGGCATAAGATGTTTCGACTAAAAAGGGTATTGTTTTGGGGGGCAGTCTGAACTGGAAAAAGTGTGAGTAGTGAATATTTTAATCGAATCAATTTTACAGCATATATTTTACTTACATTTTCTAAGCAGATACTTCAACATGCTTATTGAAATGTTATAATTTCACATTTTAATAAGTAGTGTACTGATGAACATGACACTACTCATGTTTTCTGCTGTGTTCCTGTGTACACATATGAGATATGTAATCTCAACTCTGACACGGAAGAAACATACAGTTATTTAAATGTGCTTCGGCAGTCAGAGAATGAAGCCTCTCCAACGTTTGGACATACAGTTAAAACGAAATCTGAATTACCTTATTATTCACAGTATTTTCACAGGTGCTGCTAAATTCTGAAGAAAACCCACATTGGTTGTGTCCTTTACTTTCCTGAACTCCTCCTGGAAAATATCTCCCAGGTTAGATTACTTTGGCTCAAATGTTCTTCTTCTGCCTGCTCAGTTACAGATGTTGGTGTGTGAGACTGCTGAGCAGGCACTTTGAAAATAAAGCAATCTTTTCATTACTAGAATATTTAAGATCTTTTTTTTTTTATTGGGGTAGAAGATGTAGGCTAATTATACAGTACGATATGACCATATTTGATGCTAAATATTCTCAGAATTTAAATGAAAATCGAAATATCGAAATATATTTTAATGCAAAGTAAATCTTCGTTCAGCTCTTGCACCGAGATAAATAATTTCCTAATATAGAAAACCGGAAGTGACACCAAAGCACCCGCCTCCCGCAATATGAAAACAATCGCGCAGGGTCTCCAAGGTTATTATGTGTATCTGCGGCGCTCGTGGTGGTCGTGACTAGGGTGCTGCGGTCGTGACTTTCGCCTTCAGTAAGGCAGGAGCTTGAGAACATTGGTAAGATCATCATACACTTCATGGTCTTCTAATATAAATGCTTTTTTTTCTTCAGGGTCAGCCCTGAACACTTGTTCCTTCCCAGTTAACCCGAGTCCTTTTGAGTTGTGCGTGTCACCTGTTACCATGTTTATCTGTCTAAATTAATTATCACTACTAGTTTGAAAGATAGTTAGATTTTTTATTTATTTAGTGCTGCTTGCAACTACATTTTGGTGATTATAAACATTTATGAAAATGTGCAGTTGTTACTTCAGACCCTAAAAAAACGAATGTAGTTGTTGCACTCATATTTAATTTAACTTGAATAAAAACTATTTAGGTAAGAGCAGTGAGTGATTTTCTCTTTGTGTTTTGTTCATGGCCCCAAATATTGCAAGCTGTAGCGATATGCATATTGCGATATGTACATTTGCGATATTTCGATAATTTCGATATATTGGCCAGCCCTATTATACATTTATTACATGAGCGCGCCGTCTACAGATGCTATTTTTAAATGTGAGTAACTGACACAAGGTTATTATTTCATCCATTTACTTCTCAGAAAAAAATATTCAAATGATGGTGAGCACAGAGTCACATGATTAAGTAGCTTTAGATAGTAGTTTAAATTCTGGCTGTATTGCATGAATAGATTAAACCAGCACTTTACAAAATCATTTAGGATTTTAAAGCCGCTCATGGAGAGTTTTTTTTCTTTTTTCCATAATATAAAATTTGTCTGGCTTGTCCTTGGTCCCTGAACTTGAGTTTACTTCCTCTCCTAGTCTAATTGTTATTGTTTTTTCAGCTTTTTTTTATGACCGAGTGATAAAAGTTCCTTTGTCTAGAGATTTATTTGGCTCTCATTGTTCCCATAATAAAAGGTAGAAGTAAATAGGTAAGCATACCAATAGACAAGGAATTAAGATTAGTGGGCCGTCCTGAAAGAGCCCAGGAGACTAGTTTCTCTGGAAAAGACAGTAAGAGGTTACATGTCAGGCCCCAACGGACATGAGGATTGGTTTGATCTGATTGTGTGCAAGTTCTTTCCCGGTAGGGTGTAGCCCGAATGCATTTTCCTATCTCTAGTTTGCATGTGTCCAAGCAAGTTAGCAGAGTACGTTTGGTGCATTGCTTCAGTGTGACCTTTTTCGATGTGTACTTTAATGCCTTTAGTTATTTCTGGACACATTTAAAATGTAGTGTTTCTTACCCTTTTTGTTATCCATTTGTTGAATGATGCATGTTTATCTTGCCTGCAGTGTTTGTCTCTTGTGCTTTGGATTATTAGATTAACGTGTAGCCTTCAACCTTTGAAAAAATAAATTTAGTCCTTGAGATGTCTTTCAGTCCATAGTCATGTTTGTTAAACTTTATAATGATTTCATTTGATGGTCTTTATATATTAAAAAGATTAAGGGTTTATGTGAGATTTGATGTGTGATTTTACAGGATATATTTAATCTAAAACTGTTTTAAGTAACACGTTTATAATTCTTATATACACAACGAGAATTCGATTTGATTGCCTTATATTAACTATGGACTACATACAATATTTGTTATTTAAAAATTAATTTATCACTCCACCAGCTTAGTTCAAAGAGATCTGACCAATATACATTCCTGTCATTATTAGCTTTTAAAATCAGAAATACTGTGTGAAAATGTCCACTCAGTGTAAAATAAAGAGGATCTTTATCACAAAATGAACAATAATGACCATGAAAATACTTGCATTTACATTTAGTCATTTAGCAGATGCTTTTATCCAAAGCAACTTACAAATGAGGACAAGAAAAGCTATCAAACTAACAAAACAGCCATCATATGTAAGTGCTGTGACAAGTCCATGTTAGTCTAATGCAGTACACGTAGCAAGTTTTAAAAAAAATAATCAATAATAAGAAAACTAGTAGAATAGAATAGAATGTATGTATGTGTGCGTGTATATACCTAGTTCAAAACCTGTAATGCTGTTGGGTTTTTCATTAAAAACAAAAATAATCTTCATGCAGTTCTTTTACGTTTATTGATAGTTCATAGTGACCACATCTATCAAGCCCCAAAAATATGATCAATATGATGAATGTGATATTAGTCTTCTGAAGTCATATGATATCTCAGACTAAAACAGTCTAATAACGAACTGATATGTTCACTGATAATCATCCCTGGTGAATAGAGCATTTCCACAATGACATATTTAACAGAAAAGTGTGATGCTACACTTTTTTTTGTTGACATAAGGAACTTTGTTTTATGATTATGAGTTATTGTGACTTCACAGTGATCTTAGAATAGATTTCAGCAATTCTCATTCTCTTGCAGCAATTATTTGAGGCCACGATGGATCAAGCCAGGACAACAATTTCAAAAATCGTAAGACATACTTTTCATACAAACTAATTTTGCATGGCATTATAACGGAGTTGTCTGAACCAATGATTTACCATTTGAGAGGTAACAAAGAAGGCACAATTTTTGACTTTATTGCAAAGCATGAGATCTGTGATTGCTGAGATGTAAATTTTCAGTTGAGAAGATTTGTAGGCACTTTAACTGAAACCTTTTTAATATGTTCCTGACATTGGTTTTCCTTCTTGTGCAGAAAATGTTCTATATTCCAGAGAAAAGCTGAAACCTCATGACTTAAAACATGACCAGCCTTTTAGTTTGTGTTTTTACAGTGAAGAGAATCCAGGACAGTTTTTTTATCATGGTGTCCTGTAACTCTGTTTTTCCAGTTCAATGGGGAGCCGCGCTCCTACACTCGCTTTAACCTGACCCAGAACATGGACGGTGACAACAGCCATGTGGAGATGAAGCTGTCATCTGACATGGATGATGAAGTGGAGGCTAACGGTGTTGGGGAAAACATAAACCAACATAATCGTCCTTATTACCCCAGCAAACTGAACCAGCGTTCTCCCAAAACCGTCTGCGGATTTGTCATTGGCATTCTGTTCCTTTTCATTATTGGTAATTATGTACTTATATATATGCTGGTATATATTCAAGTTTATTATGTGGCCTTCTGGGATAGTTTATACTGATTGGTCAAATGTTTTTGTATAATGACCACTAAACTGTAGTAATTTCTATGCATAAAAACAACTCATACTTATGTCTTTTAGGATACCTCATTGGTTACCTGTCTAACAGAAGCACAGACAAAACAGAAATCAAGTCCAATTGTCCGGTCTTTAATGAGATTGCCCCAGTGAGAGCAGAAGCAGTTTATTCATTGGATTGGAGTGATCTCAGGGCATTGCTGAAAAAGAAACTGACAACCCCCAACATTAACACCAACCTCAAGTAAGTTAACACAGCTGCACTTTTGCTTTTTCCATACTGTTTGAGCAGTTGAGCAGGTATTCAAATTAAACTTTCTTTTTCTCTTTCTCCCTCTTGCAGGGAATTCTCTAGTGCCAGTCACCAGGCAGGAAGCACAGAAGATGAGGCACTTGCTAATAAAATCATGGGGAAATTCAAAACTTTTGGAATGAGTACCTGGACAGATGAGCACTATGTGAAAGTCCATGAGCCTGGTTCCTCAAATAACAGAGTCCTGTTCCGTGGTAACATTGTGGGAACAACTGAGGGCTATTTGGCATACAGTGCAGTTAAAACAGTGCAGGTTAGTTTTAAATGGGGATGAATGTTGACAATCAACTGACAAAAAAAGTACCATAAAATTAGTTTGTACAAATCGTGAGCAATATTCAAAATCTTCTATATGCTCGTGTTAAAAATTCAACTCTGAGAGAAGTTGTAAATTTCTCGAGTATGTCTAACTCTGTTGTAATTAGGGGTGTAACGGTACACAAACATGACGGTTGAGTACGTACTTCGGTTTTGACGTCACTGTTCGTATGGTTTCGGTACAGCAGGGGGGAAAAAAATAAACAAAATTGATTTTTTATTAAACAGTGGTTTACTGAACAAATTGCTCTTTCTTTAAATCAATTCAATTATTAAACGTCATTTTTCTTAGGGATAAAAATCTACCTCAGCTTATGTTCTAAACTATAGGGAGCCTTTTACATTACTATAAGGTTACAATTAACAACAGAGCTCAACTTAAATTCAGTTACTATTTATTTTTAAATATAAATCAACATTCACCTTTAAAAAAATTTTTTTATGCAAACATGTAAATTGCACATAATGCAATTTTTAAATTAACTTCTAAATGATAAAATTTCTATTTGTTGTTGAAATATATTCCTATTCATTTACGCATTGGCTGTCATAACTTGTTTCATAACAGATTTATTTAAACATACATTAAATAATTAAGACATTACTAACAGGTAAAAAACATGTAAATTGCACATAATGCAATTTTTAAATTAACTTCTAAATGATAAAATTTCTATTTGTTGTTGAAATATATTCAGTGGCTGTCATAACTTGTTTCATAACAGATTTATTTAAACATACATTAAATAATTAAGACATTACTAACAGGTAAAGTAAAATAGAATGAATATTTAGTCTAATATTTCGCAAAATGCTTTTATCTATACTTCATTTCTCTAGCCAACTAATGAGCTGTGGAGACTGATGACTTCCTGAGGTAAATGAAATGCTACGTGACATTTTGTTTACAAGCTGTTTTATTGACGTCTTTCAACGGTTGAAACACTGATTGAGTGATTACATGAGGCATGAGATGTTCATTCATGTTTATTTCGTGTTAAAACTAGTAGTAAAGAGGAAGGGATCGCTGATAGCATGTCTATTTGACGTCTGCATTTACATCTGCAAGATGTATGTTTTAGAGTGCTTGCTCATCTGCAGTAAGTCTATAGGATGTTTCCTGTCAGACGTTAAATAGACATCTAGAAAATGATGTTTATGATTTAGAATGTATGTAAAACTGACATCTTAAAGACGTTTATCAGATGTTTGGACACAGCATATGCTTTCCAGATAAAGCGATCTTTAACAGACATCTTGCAGACGTACGTGTACTATCTGGGATGATTACGCCGTTTGAACTGAGACGTTTATACAGCAATCTGTCACGCCACATCAAAGAGCGTCAAAACGGAATTTATTGTTTGAATTTCCTGGAAAAAAAGTACATAATTTGAAAGACGAGACTTATCTTTCTCATCTTTCTTATCAAAAGTAACAATATATAAAACTTGAAGTTTCCAGTGAGGTTCCACTCGTGCAGTTGTTATAGTACTGTATTTGTTTGGTGCACATGTCTATGAATATGTGTAAAGTTACACCCCTACTTGTAATTATTACACACTTATTTAAGACTCTTCAGACCAAATGATCAGTGAGAGCAAGGGTACACCTGAGCAGAACGAAGGAGTCTCTAAACACATTTTAAACTTTTTAAAACATGAAAATGGAAAAAGCAACAAAATGCTCAAAGACATTCATCTAGCAATTTTAACACAGGAAAACAATGGAATAACAATGCAGACATACACAGAATAACACTTTTGGTCTGAATGGGCGCTAATTCACATGACATAACAGTAGCTGAATTTTCTCAGTTACTTTTCAAAAAGTAGCAATTTTGTAGGTGAATATTCACTGCGTTCAGCACTGTTAGTTCTCTGTGTTGGGATATGCCACCCAAAAATTAAAGTGAGTGAGTGAAGTGTGGCAACCCATACTTGGAAATTGTGCTCTGCATTTAACCCATCCAAGTGCACACACACAGTAGTGAACACACACACCTCCGGAGCAGTGGGTAGTCATATTGCTGCGGCACCCGGGGAGCAGTTGGGGGTTCGGTGCCTTGCTCAAGTGTCTCACCTCAGTCATGGTATTAAGGATAGTAGAGATCACTGGTCATTCACTCCCCCCACCGACATTTCCTGCCGGACCAGAGACTCGAACCTGCAACCTTAGTGTTACAAGTCAGACTCTCTAACCATTAGGCCACAACTGCCCCAATTAAGAATCTCTACTAATTTTCTCACCCTCATGTCTTCCCAGATTTATGACTTTCTTTCTTATGTGAAAAAGAAATTAATGGAACCCTCAAAGTTGAAGCTTCAAAACAACCCGTGACTACCCAAAACTACTAGTTGATTAAGTTGTGAAACTCATGCGAGAAGTGAGGAGCATCATATCACAAGTTTACATTAAGGTTCACAATGTGCTGACGGTTGGAAGCAACGGTTTATAGTTTAAAAAGTTTAAAATATTAGCAATTTTCTCTCACACACTTATCGTTTCACTTCAGCAGACATTGATTTATAAGGTGGGGTTTTATGGATTACTGTTTGTTTTGCCTAGTTTTTGATGTGTCAACTTTGAGGGCCCATCCACTTGAATTATATGGACTAACAGAGATGGATTCAAGAACCAATTTGTGTTCCACAGGAAAAAAAAGTCATACATCTGGGATTAAAATGTGAATATAATTGAGATACGAGGGCTCCAGTAGAAGTTTGCACTGAATAATGACATACATTTCAGCCTGTTCCTTATTACTTATTCTGTTGTATAGGGTGCAGCTCTGTATGCCCATTATGGACGAACAGAGGACTTCAGGCGCCTGCAAGAGCTGAATATTGACGTGAATGGAAAGGCTGTCTTGGTCAGAGCTGGACTCTTAAGTTTTTCTGAAAAGGTAGGTTATCTCACACATTTATATTTTAAGGCAGTTATTATTGATATTTACTTATTTATCCTTTTGTTTTCATTTGCTTAATACAGGTTGCTAATGCTGCTAGCTTGAATGCTAGTGCTGTGCTAATTTATCCAGATCCTGTTAACTATAATATTAAAGACGACACTGCTCTTTTTGGCCATGTAAGTTGTGGAACCTATCTTTTATCAGAATATTTTTGCATTTCAAAGTTTATGTAAAGCTGATCTTTTAAAATGCTCTTTTCATAGGTCCATCTCGGGACTGGTGATCCCTTCACTCCAGGATTCCCTTCCTTCAATCATACCCAGTTTCCCCCAGCTCAGTCATCTGGCTTGCCCAGCATTCCAGCCCAAACTATAACCATAAAACAGGCTACTGAGATCATGAGGTGCAGTTGTGATTGCCATTCATTTCTCTTGCTATTTACTATCACTGTATCACAGACTTTTTTTTCTAGGAATTTAAATGTATGTTTAGTCTTTAGGACAATCTTAAGAAAATATATATGAAAATATATTTTTGTCAAAACAAAACAAAACAAAAAAATCATGAGGAAAAAAAGAAGAATAATTTTATTCTTAAAAATGTAAATGTAAATCTGGCCTCAGAATATAATATGGGTTTAGTGTTTTATTTTTTATTTTTTTTGACTTGAGTCAGGAACAACATACAGCAGCAACCACGCAACACAACCATCTATCAACCCCATGCAACAATGCACTAAAAACACTCTTGGAAATCACCCTAGCATCCTGGCAGCAACTTTTGAATGTGCAAGCACCACTCACATTTTAATCAGAAGATTCAGACAATTCAATAGTTCTGTCAGTGAGGTTTGTTAATATTTCCTGTATTTACATGTTTGTCACATTTGTTTACTTCTGTCCTCAAACAGTAAGTTAGGTGGTCGGACTTCCCCTGATGGCTGGAGTGATGGGATGCTTCGGGATACCATGTACAGGCTTGGCGATGATGGCGACATTATTACAGTGGAAGTAAACAATGTCCTTATTCAGAAAAAAATCCACAATGTGTTTGGAGTCATTAAAGGTTATATGGATGCAGGTACTCTATTCTGTTATATTCTGCTTTAAACAGCTGTGTAGATAAAACTAGTAATTGGTCCCAGTCCCTGATCACTTAATTTGGGTCTTCGTCCTTTGCTTTAGATCGTTATATGGTGATCGGAGCCCAGCGAGATGCATGGGGCCCTGGATTTGCCAGAAGCACAGTCGGCACTAGTTTACTGGTGGAATTGGCCAGAACTATCACAGACATGATCAAGAATGGTACATTAAGTACAAGCAGTGATGTCTTTTTAAATGCATAAATAAATGTTATTATATAATGAATTATACATGTTAATTTTGAATTGAGAATAAATTTGTTGATTTCAAGTGCATCTTTATTTTCTTCCAAGATGGATTCAAGCCGAAGAGGAGCATAGTTTTTGCTAGCTGGAGTGCTGGTGAATTTGGGAGTGTTGGGGCCACTGAGTGGTTGGAGGTTTGAATGCATCTTTGGCTGCCTTCTGTTTAACAATAACCATGTTAAATATGGGAGTAAATTCTCTGTGTTTGTATGATATAACAAATAATAATAACAGCACAAATAAAAGTAAACAACAATAACAAGAATGTAAAAATACAATAAACCAATAATCATACATATTTCCATTCCTTTCTTAGCAAACTTAAAACAGTCATTTGAAAATATGAAAGTGAATGAATGTATTTACTGTATCTAAATGCAGTGTGTACATGGTTTTTGCGTTTTTAATGGAGTACTAGTCAGTAAATACTGCATTGTAAACACTGCCTACTATTTAAAAAAAATAGTAAGTGAAACACTGGGGATTATTCAGCAATAAACTGCTATATTGTCACATTGCATTATAGTTATATCATCGTGGAAATATTACATTTTGTCCAAAATATCTTATCTTTTGGGATCAAAAACAGAATATACAGTATGTCTGTGCACAATACACATACTGTACTATATACTGCAGAAATGGTAAGAGTACTGTAGTATGTTAATATTTCATTTCAAACAGCCTGTGCATTCAGCAGTTACTGTAAGTCATTGAATTCGTTTGTGTTTTTTTTAACCCTCAGGGCTACCTGACCTCCTTGAATTTGAAAATGTTTTCTTACATCAGCCTTGATGAAGTTATTTCAGGTTTGTAAAAAGTCATTTCTTGAATAGTTGAAGTAAGAGTACTGTAGTATGTTAATATTTGATTTCAAACAGCCTGTGCATTCAGCAGTTACTGTAAGTCATTGAATTTGTTTGTGTTTTTTTTTAACCCTCAGGGCTACCTGACCTCCTTGAATTTGAAAATGTTTTCTTACATCAGCCTTGATGAAGTTATTTCAGGTTTGTAAAAAGTCATTTCTTGAATAGTTGATGAACTTAGATCTTGAGCTGATGCTGATCATCTGACATTCTCTTTAGGTTTTGACTCTTTCAGAGCAACTGCCAGTCCACTGCTGTATGAGTTATTAGAGAGCACAATGAAACAGGTGATGTATCTCAAATGCTGAATCTTTGGCATCAATTCAAAGCTGTTTTATCTGTCCTAAAAAGAGAAATAACCTTTCCCCCCCATGCAGGTCTCCTCTCCAGTTGATGCAACCAAATCCTTGCATGAACAGTTTGCTGGATCCAACTGGGAGAAGTCTGTGTATGTTTGTCCCTCACTGCTTATGCTCCACAGTTTGATTTTAATTTCATGTGGTGACGCACCAAGTTTTTTTTAGTATTATTTAAATATTATTATAGTATTTATTCATATTTTGAATGAACTTGTATCTTTATATTTTCATTTTAGTTTAAGTTGTAGTAATTTTATGTCATTTTTAATACTTTAAATATTTCTATATATCTTTATTTTTCTTTAAGTTTTAGAAATTTTAATACTTCAACTTAAAACTTACATTTCTAAATTTTAAGTTCTTCAGCTAATATTTATATATATTTTATTATAGCTTCATTTCATTTAATAAAAAAAAATATTTGATTAGTTTTAAGCTGTTAAACACATTCTGATCAAACACATTCTATATATATATATATATATCCTATATAATATCCATATTAACACATTTTTCTTTTTTTCACAGAATGGAGCCTATGGGTTTGTCTCACTCTGCTTATCCATTCCAGACCTTCTCGGGCATCCCGTCAATTTCGTTTCGATTTACTTCGGCAAGTATTCAGGTTTTACGGAAGGTGTAGAATAGATTCAGGTACAGTTTGTTTCATGATGAACGATAGGAAGTAAAGATGTTGCTGATGTGTTTCAGAGTTCAAAGTCATACCCTTTTGGAACTATTGAGGATACTGATCAAAATCTGGAACGGTACACTTCCTACAACACTCTCAAACTCGCCAAGACTGCAGGTGAGGTGGTCGGACTGGTTACGCTTCGGCTGATGCATGACCACTTGCTCAAACTGAACGTGGCAAAGTATACCAGCGTCATCCGCAACTATGTGTCCCAAATCAGGTCTAAATTTGAATCATGCCAAATGGTGAGTCTACATGGTTATATGTCTTTTTGTGACTCCCAAATAGTGCTGGGCGGTATGACCAAAAATTTATATCACGGTATTTTTCAAAATTATACTGGTTTCACGGTACATGGTGGTATTTTTTTTTTCATGCATGAACGGGTGTTAACCATATTTTCTACTGATTGAGAGAGGAAATACTGCAGTATATTGACTTAGAATGCCCTATTTTACTGTCATGATGAGTGAATATTGTCAAAAAATACCACACTAAATAGTGACTAAACACGACCCCTTTTAATACATGTTAACCAGGAGTCACTCTCATTTACAGGTGCATCTCAATAAATTAGAATGGACGCGGGAGCTGATGGCAGGGGGGCGGTGGATATTTGTGGCAGTCAATGTGGATATTGTGGATGAGTTTTTCTGTGTCATCACGTTTTATTAGTTCTACAGCTTCAGTTTCGGAATTTTCACCCTTAGTAACACATACAGCTGTTCCCTCACCACAGTGAAAAGGGACCCCTTTCAAACAGTGTCGTGTTCCGAACGTTGTTTAAGCGACACATGCGGTATTTAAAAAATTCATATCATAACAAAAATAAACACCGGTATTCGGTATGAACCGGTATACCGCCCAGCACTACTCCCAAAGAACTTAAGCTTGATGTTTGATGAATTTCTGTAAAGTGCAGAAAGGCTACAGGGAGTTCACTTTCTGCATTTTTCTTTCGAAGTCTGGCCGCCTTCCTTCCACTGTGAGGATGCAGTGGCTTCTCTCAGCTCAGGGGTCATACGATCGTGCTGCCAGCACCTTTGTTTCAGCCATCCGAAACAGTGACCTTGAAGACATGGAGCAGTGTCGCATCATCAACAATCGCATTATGAGGGTAAAAAATTGTCAAGCTATTTCATTCTTTTCTGTGTTGATGTATTTCATGTTGAAAAAGGAAGTTGAGATGGAATATATCAAAGGGCTTTTTAAAATATCGAATAGCCTTTGCTGCTGCTTTGCTGCTATTGAAAGTTAGAAGCAAGTGGTATTAGGATGAGGGTAATTTTATTGGACAAAATTTGGTTATGATGGCAAATCATCAATATTTCGGTTTCGCTTTCTCAGAAGAGAAAGATACATTTTAAATGCATATAATTGCTAACTGTGTTAGATACATATTAAATTAGTATAATGGCTAAGCAATTTACTTTGTCAACTTCTTTTGGTACAATAGCATATACAGTACAGTACCTCAAAGCTAATAGACATGGGCTAAAAGCAACAACATGCCAGCCTTAAAACCTTTTTAAAGGTTTTTCAGATTGCATTCTAAGGATATACAACGGATATACCAATGTGGATGTTAACATGATGCATCTGTTTGAAGGTGGAAGGCAGTCTTCTCTCTCCCTATGCGTCTCCGCGGGAGAGTCTGTTCCGGCATATTCTGCTGGGCTCTGGACCACACACTTTGGCAGCTCTGGTGGATCACCTTGAAGCTATTAAAGGAGGGCTTGAATCTGCTGACATTGACCAATTCAAGAATCAGTTTGCTCTTGCCACCTGGACCATCCAGGGCTGTGCCAATGCATTGGCAGGGGAAGTATGGGATATGGATAATGAAATTTAGACAAGCAGATTCAGCTTACCTCTTTAACTATGTGATAACGTTGAACCGTCACTCAAGGCAAAAAAGGAAACTTAAAGAAGAAAATTATTTTGGTGCTCTATTAACATAAATTTATGATAAGTGGTTTATATCAGTATTTACAGCAGTAGTTGATCCAAAAATAGAACATTATGTCATCATTTACTCACCATCATGTCATTCCAAACCCCTTCTGTGAAACACAAAAGAAGATATTTGAAGAATGTACTGGTCACACTTTTCCATGAAATTGCTGGAGCTATCAAACTTAAAAAAAGACACAAAGGCATATAACATTATAAAAGTAGCTCATATTACTCATGTGCTATAATTCATCCTCTGAATCCATACAGATCAAAATTCATAAGGGGTTTGATTGACATCAAGGTAGACAACCCAGAATTTCTATTCTTGGGTGAACTATTCCTTTGAGATCTAGTTTAGATTATACAAATTTGGAATGTGTTACTGGTTTGTTATTTTCAGCATTTTCAGACTCCTTTTAGGAACTTCTTGCATAATACCTGAACAGTCTGGATTTAGAGGGGTTTTTATACAGGCTCCAGTTTGACAATCAGCCATTGTCATTTTAATGTTTGTAACCTAACTTACCTGTGATCATAAAACGCCTCGTAAAGCACAGTATTTTTCCAATTTTCCGGTTGGATAAAATTTTTCAGGGGCTTTTCAGATCAGTTCTGTCAAATAATAGAAAGAAGCATTCCTATGTGGCTCTGAAATCTCTATTTATTAGTTTTTTTTATTTATCAGTGACAGGGATCACTATAAATAGCATTTTGTAACGCCTTTTTTAACAAATGTATAATTATCGGAAGCAGTGCCTTCCATAATTATGACAGTTATACTGTCGAAATGTGAAAGCAGCATCTGCTATGGAGATAACCTTGTTTTCAAAAGCTATGACCACAGACTACAACATTGTATTTCTTAAATGATCATTTAAAAAAAATCAGTAAATTACAAGTATGTATCAGTCTTTGGCATCCTCCTTTTGAATCAATGTTATACCTGATCCAGAATCATTATCGGGAGCAGTGCCTTCCATAATGCGAAGAAGATGATGGTAGATTTTGCCTACCGATGTGTTGATATCGAGGGCAGTGCCCCTCATATTTCACTGTGGTGTGAATGTAATAATTGGGAACAGTGTTTCCTATGATGATGTACAAAATCATCTATATTCACACACTCTTACAATAGAAGTTATCTGTTGTGAGTCTTGTAATCTGTTGTCAGTTTTTCATACGCAATCAAGTGCTGTTACCTTCTTTAGCCTTGGATTAATCAAATGTGGAACAGGTGAGGATCACAGCAGAGATTAAAAACATTAGAAACATTCTCTGTATGATCCTGTCATGGGCTTCTATAAGATTCTGTTCTGTTCTCTTACTCGGTTTTCATATTTCTTTTGTTTCTGGTGTATTATTTATTATTTGTGCCTTGTAGATTATGATGAAGCCTTTAAAATGCTTTTTCCCCCTTCTCTTTGTTCTTCTTTGTTTTCTCTTCTTTGTGTGTATTTAACTTCACTCTTGCTGTTTTACTTGCAAATCAAAGTGAGATTAAATAATAATAATACAAAAAAAACTATTCAGCTAATTGGTTTTAATGTTCACCTTTTGATGCCAGTATCATCTGTTTATTATTATATCATGGTTGTCAGAAGACATCAATATGATTCGAAAAGTGGGAAATAATGTTTATGCACTGATAAAAAAAAAGACAAACACTCATGCATGACTTTGAAATATGTCCTGTTTGAACACACACACACACACACGTGTGTGGAAGAGATGAAAATGTAAATCTAAAAAAAAGTCCATTGTGACTTGCAGTTTCATGATTGTCTATGCAGATCAATATCTTAAAAAATGTTTCTGAAGAATGCTATATCCGTAGTAGTTTTGTTGTAGACAAAAGTGGTTTATAGAATTACACGTGCACTGATTCTCAGTTTTATGATTAGTCTGCAAGTTAATCAGCCAAATAATAGCCAAATATGTTTTGAAATATTATCTGTAATCATAGCTTGTGTGTACAATGTCACACCAAAATAAAAATAAAACAAATACATTGTACTAATAGGTTAAATGTTTGTGTGTGTGTGTGTGTGTGTGTGTGTGTATTTTTTTTCTTAAAAAGGTTTCTCAAAATAAATTCTGACATGGAAAAAAATAAAATGAGAAGCTGGCTACTTTCAGCTACGTCTAAGCTCAATATGTACAAACAGACAGTGACACCAGTAGACGTCCTAGGTCATGTCTATAATTTAAAATTTATTAAATATATAAAATCGTAAGACAGTATTTGTATGGACCAGGGACGTGTCTGCATTTCTTCAAATGACCACATGGTGGAACTAGAGTACTTTGAAGGATTCACTTTGAATATCATATGATTGCAATAATTAAGCAGAGAGTTTTTATCTATTTAACTTACATCTTAACAGCCGTCAAATAGTTTTTTTTTTTTGGTTTTCTTTTTAACAGCCTGATGGCGATAGTCTTTATAATAAAGATGCGTTTCAAAAGCAAAATACGTCTTCCCCTAACCCTGTGGAAATATGTCATATTAAATACAAACTCAAAGTCATACCAGTTATTTGGCTGTAAAACTGTAGAATAGATAGATTTTAAAACTACGTTAGAGTTAGCTATTATGATGTCGTTCATTGCCGTCATAATGAAAGTGTCCTGTCTCTTTAAGAGTGGGTTGTCAATAGAAGCGTGAGCATGTACAGCCAGAGCGCGAGTGAGATTGAGTAATGACGGTCGAGTACTGCTGTAATTTAGCGACAGAAACGAGTGAGAAAGCGACAGCAGTTATAGAGCAAAGCATATTAAACCCTACAACAAATTTATAAAACGTTAGAAATCAGTTGAACTTTGCCGTATACACAGGACCAACATAGAGTGAAGTTTTGTTCAGTCACCAGACACCTGGCTGGCGTTATTGAGTGAGCACCGAGTCTGACAGGTAGGACTCAAAAGAGTGTGTATCACGGATTATTGTAACACCTTACATGTCACTGTTAAATTCAGTTTCATAAGAGCGTGGAACTTAACAGATAAACCTTTAAATTGATTTGAATTAAGAGCTCAAATTGTTTTAACGTTTCCTCATATCTCTGCCCTTGCGCTGATCTCAAGATTTCACCTGCATGTTGTAGTGAAGTCAGTGGCGAATTTGGCTCCTAAAGGCTCAAAAGATTGATTCATCCTCAGTCTAGAGTAGCAAGTCTGTATTTGTGTTCATATGATTGAGATTTGACAAAATGCGTAGAATTTTTATGACGTTTCTTATTCTCAATATCTGTATGATACTTTGAGAGACGATAGTCTAGTAAAGAGGTGTTCGATTCACCATATTATAAATGTAACTCATCTTGTAACTTATTGTGGATCTTATGTGAGATTTCCCTCTATTTTATCTGAAAGCGTGTCATTTCTGGGTTGAGGAGTGCTTAAATGTGTAGTACTGAAGGCTAAAATCAAAACAGAACTGCATTAAACCACATGGTTTACGCTGGCGCCACTTTCCAAAGATGAAACTGAACCCTTAACAGTGTTACCAACTAAGTTTCAGGGAAAGTTGCTAAATGCAGGTTCATTTGTTGCTAAATTACGTTGTGATGTCATTTAAAAATAGTTAGTGATGTAATTGGAAAAAAAAGTAATTAAAAAAATAGGACAAAATGTAGTGTGTTAATATTAAAGAATATTCTTTATTGATTTTTCACAGACATTTTACCTGTAGTTTAGATTAGGCTATACTTAGCATTTTGTGTAGTGTTGCAGGAAATGTCTGTAAACTTAACCAATAATGTCCTGGCAGAAAATGACCAGTAGCCTACCGTTTCCATTTTTCTACAGATTTTTCCTTACAATGTACCTAACTGATCAACAATTATAGGCAGGGCCGTACACAGGTTTTTATAAATACCGAGGTCCAAAAATGGAGAAACGTTGAATGGAAAATTTTGATTTTACTGACCTACATGTGTTAATTTTAAGATGTTTTAAAGTTCATAAATTGGATCATAATATAGGTTTAAAACCAAGTCAGTGGGCGGTAGTAGTTTAATTTATTTTTCAAGATAACTGATTTTTAAACATGAGAATCAGATTAAATGTTGCAATGAATGATCCACGCTACAAACTGGAAATAGAGAAGATATCGTTTGTTTATGTTTATGAAACTCTTCTTAGAGTTTTTCTAAACCTGCATAAAGTTCTTTTTTCTGTTGAACACAAAAGAAGATACTTTGAAGAATGCGGGTAACTAAACAGCTTCTGGTCCTCAGTAACTTCCATAGTAGAGAGAAAATACTATAGAGTCATTGGGGAAATAGGGTCTAGCATTAAATAGGCCTATAAACTATTAATTATTCTGTCTAATAATGTCTAAAAATATAATAATTATGTCTACCAAGCTCTGATAATATATGGAATATTATATTAACAGGCTATCCAAATTTCAATAAAACTTTAAAGGTATGGTTCACCCCCCAAAAATGAAAATTCTGTCGTAATTTACCCAGGTTTTTCTAAACCTGCATAAAGTTCTTTTTTCTGTTGAACACAAAAGAAGATACTTTGAAGAATGCGGGTAACTAAACAGCTTCTGGTCCTCAGTAACTTCCATAGTAGAGAGAAAATACTATAGAGTCATTGGGGACCAGAAACTGTTTGGCTACCCACATTCTTCAAAGTATCTTCTTTTATGTTCAACAGAAGAAAGAAATTATTACAGGTTTGGAACAACTTGTGGGTGTGTAAACGATGACAACATTTTCATTTTGGGGTGAACTATCCCTTTAAGTAAGTCCACCGTGAGCAACTAAAAGCTTCTCTGCAAACTGCAGGTTCATCAATAGTTACTGGACATACCCATTGATAACTTTCCCATTCCGCCCTACATCTGGAGAGTCTTGTGTTCAAAGGGCAGATTTGAGCTCTAAATGTTTGAAACCGAGGCACGCAGGTTTAGCGCATGCTGCTTTAACGGCGCGCGTTCTGGAGACTCCGTCGCTGTGGAAAAAAAGACACCAAAATGCAATTATGCGCAAATGAGCTTCTCTAATACTTTTTATGAAATTGATTTCATTGTAATTGCTAATAGTATTATAAATGGTGCTAAATACTTATTTGTTGATTCAACTTTGTGTTGGCTTTTGTAAAATACGTTACAAATCGTGTCCCATATTGATTTGATATGGGACGTATCATTTTACCTTTAAATACGGGACGGGTGGCAACCCTAGCACACGCACTAGTCTAGACTTCACGTAATGTACGCGTGCACTATGTAGGGCTGTTTTGAATGGTTTTTGCAAAACACTCAATAATGTCAAATTGCACATCGTTAAAACAACAATTACGATATTATCACAGATGATATATATCACACACCCCTACCGCTGAGGCATCTCGGATGCAGTAGCGGCTCCTGACCGTAAATTTAGGTGGGGCAGATTCTGGGTCGTAGCGCTAATATATTAAAAAACATTTTGTAAGCTTTATATTCTAATCTCTGAACACATGGGGACAAAATTTTGGCAGAGATGTCCTTGCGTTGTCCTGTGGGGGGCGCGCTAATTTTGATTGACAGGCTCGAAGTAATGTTACATGCATAAAATGCTGTATAATAATTGCCTTAGTATTTATCACCTCCAAATGTTGATTTAGAATGTTACAAGTTCTGGAGCAATTCAGGTGAGGAAAGAAGATCATATGTCTATTCTCAGAATAAACAAAACAAACACAACAGAACCATATAAAGGCTATTCATGTGAGCACATTTAAACTAAAGGATTTAACGTATAGTCTACTTTGTTAATTTGATCCACTACTCCACATAGAAAAAAACAGACATGCCAACTAGTTACTGACCTGATGCAGACACATAGCTGAAGCGGATTGATATCGTCTTGGTGGAGTGAGGTTCACGTAAAGGTAACTTGAAAATAAGCGGGGCAGTCTCAAATCTGCCCCAATGGCTCTCAATTAGAGCGCGCTGCAGTTCCCCTTTTCACCACAGATTTACGTTTTAAAATTGTGGGGCGCTGTTGAGCTTGGGAGGTCTCAGGCACCATCAGCCCCACTTAGTACCATACATGCCTGGTAAAGCCATGCGTGATTTTAATATATACTGCTTACTTTACAACTTAAAATAGTCTAGAAAAGAAAAGTCTAGAAAATCCGAAAAATATTTGTTGCAGAATGCTGAACACATTTACAATTTATTATTGATTCAGTTTATATAGAGGTCTATGTTTTGGATTAATATTTTGCTGGGGCTCTGCTTTGCGATTGAACTGAATCAATTAAACGGTTGATTCAGTCAGGAACGAAACACGATCATGTTGCTCAGAGACGCAAAACATTGCTGTGGCTGTGTTTGGAATGATTTTTGTTGGCGAAATAGAGCAAAAACAGGCAATATGGTATCTAAAACGTAAGTCTCTTAATTTAATTTTTGTTTGTTGAGCTGTTGTAAAAGAGAAAGGAAAACTTGAAATCGCATCATATGACCCCTTTAAGATCTTTAGATCATTCAGCTGTTCTTCAAAAAAATTAGGAGACAGCTTTTTCAGGAGACAGACAAGCCCTCTCTTCACTGATGATGTCCCCAGTAATGTCCCTAGGCTTCAGTTTAAAATGCATAGCTTAGACAGAATCATAATTTCTATTCATTTTCCACTGATTTATGCGATCTGGTGAGCATTAGCTGCTTCTAGTGCCGTCTGCCTGTGTTTTCTCTTCCGCAATCACTGTTCTGACTCAGAGGAAGCTCATCCGCTCCTCATATGTCAATTATATTACACGTTCATAATCTGTGATTATCACGAGATTCTGCCTATTTTCATAACAATACAGTGTGTTTACATAAGAAATGCTAAGCAGGTGTAGCGATTAGTTTGACATAAAAAGCTACAAATAACATATTTCTGCAACATTATATGACCAAAACCCTTGTTAGTGTCAGAGTAAATGAGGTTCAATCGCAAATGCAGATAATACAGTTTATTAGGCAGACAGG